CCCCACCCCCCACCCCACCCCGGTTGGCGGGTGCTCTGGTGTGGTTTGCTCCTTCTTTCCTATCAAACATCTATAGTCTTTATTTCTCCTCCTTCCTTAATGTTTGTTACTCTCTTGTAACACCTCTAATGTTCGGCCCTTATATGACCTTATTGTGTTGCAATGGCGTCAAACTCAACTAAACTCTCCCCCTTTCTCCCCCTTTCTCAAACCTCTTCCATTCCCGTGGCCAGCACTACATGGATGTGGACTCCCCTATCCGGATACCTCGGATCCGCACCATAAGCCGAGAGTCGTCATCCGCGTCACCCTACAGCCCCGCCCAGTGCAGCGGCGACGACGACGAGCCCTGGAAGCAGACGGGCGCGCAGCCACCCTCCTCCAACAGCCGACGTCTTCGCGAGGGCCCCGCCGAGAGGCGTACCGGTGCGGGGGAGGAGGTGAGGGAGGAGGAGGAGGAGCGGGAGAGGGAGGAGGAGCGGGAGAGGGAAGAGGACGGGGAAGAGGGGAACCTCGTTGTGACAGACAAGTACATCTCTGCCAAGACGGAGTCGCTCATCTCGGGCAAACTTCTGGGCAACGGCTACCAGCTGAGGTCAAGGTCACCGCTGCACAGGTCTAGGGCGGAGCGCAGCGCTTCCAGTTCACCCAAGTTCCGCTCGGGGATTAATGGAAGTTTGTAATTATGATTGGCTAATTGGTTGCTTAATTGGGTGGTTGGTTGGTTACTTGGTTGATGTTTGGCTGGTTAATTGGGTGGTTGGCTGGGTGGGTGGGTGGTTGGGTGGTTGGTTGGGTGGGTGGTTGGTTAATTGGGTGGTTGGCTGGGTGGGTGGTTGGGTGGGTGGTTAATTGGTCGGTTGGTAAGTTGGTTGGTTGATTGGTTGGTGTTGGTTGGCTGCGTGGTTTGGTTGAAGTTGGGGGAGGTAAGAGGGCGAGGGGAATAGGTTTTTTTATCTGTGGTGATTGAGATGTCGTTAGTGAACCCTCCAAGTGTCTATGGTGTGTGGGGGAGTTGTAGGATTTCACCATGTGTCGTGTCGGAAGAGTAGTTGTATCCTTCTCAGCCCGGGGTGGCCCTGACAGTCAGTGTCGGAGTCCGGTTCCTTTTAACACCTTGCAGTCACTCGGCGCAATAATGCTCCGGTGTAATGCGCCGATGAATATTATCCGTTCCGGTCCCTGACGCAGTTTTGCACTAGACCCAAGAAGTCCGTTGCAGTCACTCTCCTAGCTGGGTGACCAGATGGGGTATCTTGTACTGCTGGCTGTGTGACTGCAAAGTGGTAAATGTTCACCTAAATTGTGTTGATGAAGGTGTAAAAAGAGACCTACATTAAAAATATATATATATACTTAGGAGATGGGGACTTATTGTTGTCTTCAAGATTGTGGTTTTCATCTTGTAATATGATGATCATGGTCATTTTATATTGGGAGGTGCTTGAGAACAGGCAAATCTAGCAAGTAGAGGCCATAAACCTAGATGTTTTACAGAATGTAGGTTGTAAATAGGAAGTGGAGACCATTTGTGAAGGAGTTGAAATGTCTTGTGCAATAAAAAGTCCCCAGGATAATCAAACTGAAATAACGACTCAATTCGTGGCTGCTTTATTGAATGAAACTCAGGGCTAATTTAATCAGCCGCTCACATGAGCAGGGTTATGTGAAGATAGAAAGAGGAGAAGGGTTTTTTTAGGGGGGGGGGGAGGGATGGAGATGAGAAGAGAGATCAATGAAGATTAAAAGAGCAATAGAGAGAGTAAAAGAGAAGAGGGTAAGAATGAATGAGAGAATGAATAATTTGTTGGGGTTTTTTTAATGGAAAAAAAAACCCATCTCATTTTTTTTCCCCCATGTGTGAGATTCGGTACAGTCAGTAGTCAGAGAAGGAAGTGTGTGTGGCAAGGAGGGTACGGCTGCTCCTCATCTTCATGGAATCTTGACGATGTGTACCCTTCTGTTGCCACAACACGCCAGTTTTGCTGATCTGATTTCTCGATGGGGAAAGTTTTATGTCACAATACGCCAGTTAAGCTGATCTGACGTCTCCATAGAAGAAGTTTTATGTCACAGCAGGAAGGCTTTCGTTCATTCTGAATGTACTTTTTGGGGGTAGTTGAAACCCTAATTTGGACGTAATTAATTTGTAACTCTGAGAACCATTTTGTGTGTATGCCAGTAACATGTTTTTGGCAGATGCTGAAGTAAACGTTGTAGTGGTATATTATGTATATATATCAGTGGGAAGGTATTTGAATGATAATTCAATTTTTTAAAATTGTATTAGGTCGAGTCTTTCAACATCGCCACCAAAATGTTTTCATTGAAAAATGAATGGAAGAGATTTAATAATTAATGAGATTTTAATTTCAAAGTCTTGAAAGTTCCAGAGCAACTTTTCATCTTATGTGGCCTCCCTTAAAAAAACTAAACTGTGTTTATTTAGATAGCAGGCTTGGGTCTAGTTTGCTTTCTAGTCCTGAGTCTGTAAAGGTGTGCAGTAACTTTGCGGATGAGGTTGTAGTTCTTTGTTATGTTACGACTTACTTGAGTCTTGGAGGTGTAGATCTAGATGGTAGTTGATGTTGGCGGGGCACCACCTGCTGGTCGTCTGCTAGTTTTTGGTTAGCCGATGTTACTCGTTTCGGCTTCAGTGAGTGAGTGACACTTAGATTACCCGCGGCTTGCACGAAATCACATGAGGTCTCAGTCACGTGATGTGTCCTTTAGGCCTATGTCACAATAACTATTCTTAAGGTATGTTCACGCTACATGTCCTATTCTTAAGGTGCGCTTACACCACATTCTTTTACCCACAGTTCTGAACATGTGATTTTTGAGTGTTTTTCTATGAATAATAATTTGTTACCACCAAAAATGTGGACGGTTTTACTGTCCAGCTAGTCAAGAGTTGTGAGAGGGTATGGCAGCGACCCCTGGTGGGTGTGTGTGTGGGTGGGTGGTAGGGGTGTGGATGTGTGTGTGGATGGTGGATGTGTGGAGGGTGGATGTGTGGGTTGGTGGGTGGAGGGTGTGTGCAGCTGTGGACTGACTGTCCTACTCTAGTCTTGTCTATATTTCCTCAGCGTCACCGTCACTCAATATTGTTGTCTGTCTACATTTTGTAAAGATGAAATAAGTCAAGTGTGGTGTGTAGAGTTTGATGAGGCGCATGGATTGGTTCTAGTCTCTTTCCTCTCTTCAAACAGTGACAGATGTCGAGGAATTGAACGTTTGGGGTGAAAGGCCCGTAGATAAAGCCAGAGAGGGGGTCAGCAGACGGTTTTTTTTCCCACCTCTGGCATTTGTTGGTCCGGAGACGCCAAACTGTTGGACTTCTCTGTTGTCATCCACCCCTTTGGCGCTCACACGATCTTATGCTGTTGCGAGCGCCGTAAAACCTGACTAAAACTAAGACACCAAATCGTGATGTTCACAGTTCGCTACACCAAACTACACTACACCAAACTGTTCACTACACCGAACTGTTCACTACACCAAACGGTTCACTACACCAAACTACACTACACCAAACTACACTACACCAAACTGTTCACTACACCAAACTACACTACACCAAATGGTTCACTACACCAAACTACACTACACCAAACAGTTCACTACACCAAACTGTTCACTACACCAAACTACACTACACCGAACGGTTCACTACACCAAACTGTTCACTACACCAAACGGTTCACTACACCAAACGGTTCACTACACCAAACAGTTCACTACACCAAACTGTTCACTACACCGAACTGTTCACTACACCGAACGGTTCACTACACCAAACAGTTCACTACACCAAACAGTTCACTACACCAAACTACACTACACCAAACAGTTCACTACACCAAACTACACTACACCAAACGGTTCACTACACCAAACAGTTCACTACACCAAACAGTTCACTACACCAAACTACACTACACCAAACGGTTCACTACACCAAACGGTTCACTACACCAAACTACACTACACCAAACGGTTCACTACACCAAACTACAATACACCAAACAGTTCACTACACCAAACGGTTCACTACACCGAACTATGACACTCACAGTACACTACACTACAGGCGCCATGTTGTTGCAAAACGTGAACCGCCATTTAAAAAAAGAAAAATTTAATCAGAGCCAATCAAAACATAACCTTGCTCTTCCTGTTTTTTGGAGTTTTTTTTTTTTTTTTAAAGTTTTTTTTTAACCATGAGGCAAAGCTATAGCCCTGGGAAATGAAACCTTGTTCCATAAATTTTTACCTTCCAGGCAATTTTGCCTTTTTTAATGTCAAACGAAAACAGTGTTGTGGCTCATTGTTCAGCTGTCGATGTTGTCAACTTGATTTTTAATTCGCTGATATTTTTTTTTTTTTTTTTTTCCCGTCAAAATCCCCCCACTCCCCAGTGGAGATTTACACAGTTTAACACGAAATCTTTGACAGTACTTGAAAGTGTTGAATTTACTACTCAGTGGAAATATTTAATATTTTCCACGAGAACATGATGGTTTTTTTGTACTCCCAAGCTTCCCTGGTTGTGCACGTTTGTTGATGATGAAGTCACCGAGTCGTTTCGTGGGTTCTTTTTACTGGATCTGATAGGTACATGAGTTGTGGAAATGTTTGCCTACAGGGAAAGTACATATGTGTCGCGACGTGGTGGAATCAGGCGCACGTCCATTTTTGGTCATATTGGGTTATTGATTTCATCTTAAAGCCTGTTCATTTTCCTTCCTTTTGGTGAAAAAAAATATCCATCTATGATGAAAAGAAGTTGAAATGTTTACGATTGGAGGAAGTCAGGGGCACCTGGTTTCAGTAGTGAAATTAGCGGGAAAATGGCCTCCAACGTTTGGTAACTCCAATAGCTAAAGAGTCTTTGAAAACTGAAACATGTATTATTTGGTGCCTTTACATCTTTGTTTTTCAGTAAAATTTACATGGAAATGTGTTTTTATAAATGGGCATAGAGGTTAAGCCAAAAATAAAAATTATCGATGTAAAAATGCCAGTTTCTCAAAATTCATTTTGACAAGTGTCTGATTTCACCACGCTGCCTCACATTTGTGTCTCGACGTGGTGGAATCGGGCGCCCGTCAATTTTTGGTCCAATGGGGTTATTGGTATCATCTTATGACACAGATGTAGACATTGTCGCAGGCACTGGAAACAAAGACTCTCTCTTCGTCTGCTCAGTCAGGGCAGGGGAGAGAACTGTGAAACTGATCAATCAGACGTGATGTCAATCTGACGTGATGTCAATCAGACGTGTCAATCACACACACGCACACACCTGTTGTGCAAGAGCTCAGGATTTTGTTGAGGTTTTTTGCCAGTAATGTATAACTAGGTCTGAATTCATTGGGGAAAATCTCAGTCTGTTTACATTGTGAAATATATTTCAGTTCATAAACTGCATGTCTCGCAAATATTGATTAAATCAAATGCTTAATGCTTTGGAAAGTTTGCCGAATTTATCAAATGCCCAATGCTATGGAAAATTTGCTTGTTTAATCACATGCTTAATGCTATGGCGATGTTGCCTACTGAGAAAGTTGTAAAGAACAGCTTACCAAGACAATCCTCTTGTTTACTAAACACATCAAAATCTGTTCAGGAATTGTTTGACGATGTTTGCCCGTTGTTTGTTTGTGTCGGAGAAAAGGGGTGGGAGGGAGGAGTTCCGTTGTCGACTGACGTCAGTTCTGACTGGTGTCTGATAATGTAACAGCTGATTAT